TAAATCCCACTTTTATGACTCTGTAAGTCAATTATTTTATGGTTTTAGTAACAGGCATGTAAAGTATTTTAGGGTTTAGTTTTCAGTGATTTGCATGGTTGTTTTTGGTTTGTGGTTTTGTGTTTGTTTTTCTAAGGCGGTGTATGTAAGCAAATTAAATCACATGTAATCCTGAGATTGCCAAAGAAAGATTCAGGACAACAAAAACCTGTTCTAAATAAGTCTTTTTCTCAGCTAGTTTTATTCTTGGGCATGTTCTGAATCGATACAGTCACATCTGTACCTTTTTTCCAGCTGGAATGGGCAGGACCAGACCATAAAGAAGTCTTGATCTGCAAACAGCAGCCCACTGGGTCCTTGGGCAGCCTGACCCATGGGATGATGGAAGCTCCCCAAGCACAGAGTGAGCTTGCATCTTCTGTCAACACTGCCACAGGTCACTGGTCTGAAGGGTCTGGCAGAACATGCAAGCTCAGAGTGGAGAGATGACTTATTTAATGTCACCTAGAGCTTACAGACTAATGAGCATGCTGTTCCCTACACTGCTAATGAAGTTTATGGTATCTAAAATACAAATGTGCCTGCACACAGGCCTCTGCATCTTCAGGGCCAGGAAAAATAACACTCTACTTCTGCATTTCTTTTCCTGATCTCTGATTTTCCCTCTCTGAAATTCATAGAACCATACAATGGTTTGGGTAGGAAGGGACCTTAAATATAATCTCATTCCAGTCCCTGCCATGGGCAGGGACACCTCCCGCTATTCCAGGTTGCTCCAAGCCCTGTCCAACCTGGCCTTGGACACTCACAGGGATGGGGGCAGTCACGGCTTCTCTGGGCAGCCTGTGCCAGGGCCTCAGCACAGTCACAGGCAAGAATTTCTTCTAATATCAGCCTAAACCTGCTCTCTTTCATTTTGAAGCCATTTCTCCTTGTCCTGTCACTTCAGGTTTGTTTTAGACACATACTCATTTCCCAGCCACTTGTAGTCTATGGAATTAAATGCATCCACAGTAATTACTTAGTACCTCTCATCTTAGGAATGTAAACACAGATTTGTTCATCTGCTGAGCTCTGCCCCAAGCCAGAGTAGGTGGGACATGTTTTGAGCTGGTCCTTCACCCTCCCTGTGCCTCCTCTGGCCTATGAGCACCCCTTGCTTATAGAGGTAAAATGCTGGGGTGTGTGTATGGGGATGTTTCTTATCTCTAAAGGGAGACTAACACTTCAGGATAGAACTGATACTGACAAATTCACTTGGGACTGCCTTGACTGCAGCAGGATAATCTTGACCAAACCTGTATTTCTTACTATTTTGTGTTTCTTACGATTGCAAAGAAAGCTTCAGATTTCAGTTTTATTTTTTCAGTGAGGTTGTATTTCTATATTTCTATCCAGTAGCATAGTTCCAGCTTAGATTTGAAATACATGTATTTCTGTATTTCAAACCATGAAGTTTTCCAGTTCTAACAGTGGAGCTGGACATCAAAGCATCTCAGAAAGCCAGCTCTTGCTTCTTAAGCCTGTTGCTGTTTATCTGCCTCTTGCAAGAGAAAAACAAGGGGTGGGTGGGGGAATAGATACTGTGTAAAGAAAAAAACAACAAAGAAATAAATTAATGCCAGGTGTCTGGAAGCAGTTCCTTACTTGGCTTCCTTTTGGGAAAAGGTGAAACAACAAACCCCACAATCCCTTTTTATTTCCTCTGCAGCCCTCCTCGTTCTGCTCTGTTTCTGTATCCCCAAATAAAGTTGGTTGGCCGTCCCCAGAGCTGTGAGGGTTATCCTGACACCTCCTGCTGAAATCCATCCTCATGGCACTCCAAGGTAACCAAGTTGGGGTTTTTTGGGGTTATGGATGAGTAAGTTGGACCTCAGGCACTATGCAGTGTTGTAGGTTACTGTGATTCTTGTGGGGAATAACAACACTAATGATAATAATAATAATAAAACAACCAACAACTTTTTCTGTAATTTTTGTATGAGCTACTCTAGAAGCAAATCCCTGCCCTAGGCCTCAACCCCACTGAGTTCTTGTTTATTCTAGGAAATGACTTTGTGTGATACTATGGGCTGTATTATGATTCTTTAAATGTATAGGTTTGTACCAACCCCCCAAAGTGTACCACGAAACTCACAGGCAATCAGTACTGATCTCAGTCTGCTGCTGCCTGGGACCACTTTTATTAAGAAATTCTTGCTGGTCATGCATGACATCAAGTTGACAGAATGATGATACCATAATTTGACTAAACTCTTTTGGAGTTGTCCAAGATAAGGAATTTGATTGTTGTCATAACCCAGCCTCAAGAGTTTTGGCACTGCCCTTGTTATGGAAGCTGTCGGAAGAGATTTTTTCTTCATAAATCTTACGGAAGTGGTGGAAGAGAAGGGGGTGAAATTCCTGACAGCACTGTGGTAGCACCCAGAGTAAAAGCTACTTTGTATTTTGAGACTAGTGGAAAATTTCAGGTACCACAGCACATGCTTTCTCAGCTAACATACAAACTCCCTAGTCACCATTTTCAGTATGCACACACATTATAGTTCCAATTAGCAGCATTGGTGTTGTGCAGCAACTGCATGTGAAGACAGAGGTAGGTTGGTAGTTTGCTCTTTTCCTCTAGCCATTTTGTTTTCCTTCTAGTGTAACTCCACCTGCAGAGCACAGCACTGTAGCTGCATTCTGATAGCATGAAACCACTGCCCTCCTCTTCACTGTCTCTTTTTCTGCTTTACCAGACTCCTCCTCTGTTAAAAAAAATGTGTCAAGGCTGGCCATAGTGGTTCTGTATAACAGAAACTACCTTGGCAGACACAGGGGGGTGTAAATGTTTGGTTAAAGTAGCAATGTTTCAGGTCAGTAATCAGACTGCCTAGTTCCAGCCAGAGGTGAATTTTTACCACCTCGTATAAGCTGATTTATAGTGGAAGCATGAAGAGGTAATGAATGCAGACAGCCCTGCAGGCCAGCAGCCCCAATCCTGCCAGCAGCCCATCCTCTCCCAGGCACCAGCTGCACCAGGAGCTTGCCAGCAGGGCAAGTGGGCAGTGCTCTGCCAGCTCAATGCATGGGAGGTATCAATGTTCACACCAGCACTGGGACATGTGAAGCCAGTTTGTATAGGAATGTGTTTTAATGTTTGCGATCTCATGGGGATGCCAGCATTTGCTGTTCTGAAAGAATTTTCAGTAATTTTACTCTTTGAGTAAAGAAGTACAAGGTCATCTCATGTAATCTTCTAGACTTGGGACTAAAAAATTAAGCTTATGGACTTCATAGTCTTATTGCAGGCATAGGAATATTCACTATTATCAATGCTTTTTCCTGCAAAACACAGGAAATGCTTTTAAAGCTGATTTATGTAATTATCAATTATCAATCTGGAAAAAAAAAACCCAGAGATGGGAGAATTTAATAGTGAAGTAGAAAATATGTTAATTCATGTCAATAGGTGCTTTGCATTGCTCTGGCCCGTTTCTCTGGACTCACTCTCGGGGATGCACTGGTCTCACACTCACTATTGTCAGGTAAGGTCAGAGTGTATTCAGTTCCAACCACCTGTGTAAGGTTTTTATTACACCACATGGTTTTTAAACATGTATTCTTTTACACTGCTAGGGAAAACTCAGGCCTGAGGCTTTGCTAGGACTAAATTTGAAGAGCTAAGAGGATAAGTGAACCCAGTTCTCTCTAATTCCCTCTGCAGAGGAGCAAGCTTCCCTTTGCAGGTAAAGCCCTTTCCCTTTCCTTTGCCCTCATGGCTACTTGGCAAGCCTGGATGCAGGTACAGGATCATGGGCAGCCTGACTGATGCCTCCTAAGGCTATCACATGCACATGTGTGTGAACATTTCTGCCTCCCTTTGAGGCCCAAATTTTCTTGTAGGAGTGCAGGGAACAAGATTTGGGTCTTTGAAATCAGCACCTGCAGTGGTGGGCAAATAAAAGGTACCTGTACTCCACTGGCCATATCACAACTCCTTGTTTGGTTGGCATGTGCCTTTGCTGGAACAAGGACATCAGCAGCTGGGTTAAAGGGATTAAGGTTTCATCTGCAGTCATAAAGTGAAAAACTTCAGAAAAGCCTTCTAGGCTTAGGACCCTGTGTTTGTGAGCCTGTATCCATGGCTGCTTTCACAGCTTGTTCACATTTTTGGTCTGGTTTCTGAGCACTGGCTTGTGGTAGGTGTGTTTCTACTCACAGGTTTGATTTAGGGGCAGAAGCTGGAATAATAAATGTGGATCGAGCAGTTGCTCATATATTTATAACTGGAAAGAACTTACTCAGCTAATAAATATCAGCTTGTGTTCTCTGTGCAACCTGGTCCAGTGGAAGATGTCCCTGTCCATGGCAGGGGGTTGGAACTAGATTATCTTTAAGGTCCTTTCCAACTCAAACTGTTCTGTGATTCTATGATTATATGAGGGCACATTTTTTTTATCAAGTCAGACCTCCTTTTGCGAGGTATCTTAAACAGTATCCAGCCTCTTCAATTTTTTAACCTTCTGTAAAGAAAGCATCCCCAGCTGCTGAGCTGAATCTCCGTCATTTTTAGGCCTCTCAACATTATTACTCTCCTCTAAAACCGTTCCCCCATCTCTATGTCTATGTGCCACGCTTTTTGCGTGCACCTCCTGCTTAAGCATTTGTACCCAGCATAGTGCGTGCAAAAAACAAACAAAAAAAGAGGCGTTTGTTAAAAGACAAGAATGTAACTCTGATAGATTGGTCTGAAATGGTGTTCAGGCTCCCAGCAAGGCTTTTACTTCGGGGAGAATTCAAGCTCTCGCTTGAGAGAGAAATGTCTCCTCTCGGGTTCTTCCCAGCGGGCGAGCCCCCTCCCCAGCGCAGGGCCGCTCTCCTTTGTTCGGGGCCGGGCTGCGGGGCGGAGGGGCGGGCCCCGGTGCGCGCCCGCGGGGCCGGGCCAGGGCGGGCGGAGCCGCCCCCGCGCCGCGCCGCGCCCGCTCGGCCCCTCGCTTACCGTCGGGCCGGGCGGCATGAGGCGGGGGCTGCCGCTGCTGGCCCTGGCCGGGCTGCTGCTGCTGGGGCGGCCGCCCGCGGCCCGGGGGGCGGCCTGCGAGCCGGTGCGCATCCCGCTCTGCAAGCCGCTGCCCTGGAACATGACCAAGATGCCGAACCACCTGCACCACAGCACGCAGGCCAACGCCGTGCTGGCCATGGAGCAGTTCGAGGGGCTGCTGGGCACCAACTGCAGCCCCGACCTGCTGTTCTTCCTGTGCGCCATGTACGCGCCCATCTGCACCATCGACTTCCAGCACGAGCCCATCAAGCCCTGCAAGTCCGTCTGCGAGCGCGCCCGCGCCGGCTGCGAGCCCGTCCTGGTCCGCTACAGCCACGCCTGGCCCGACAGCCTGGCCTGCGACGAGCTGCCCGTGTACGACCGCGGGGTCTGCATCTCCCCCGAGGCCATCGTCACCGCCGAGGGCGCGGGTGAGTGCGCGGGGACCGGCACCGGAGCGGGGACAATGGGCGGCGGGCGGGCGGGGAGGGCAGCCCGGGAGCCCTGCCTCCCCTCCGGCCGCTCGCTCGGATTCTCTCTGCTCTGCCCTCCGCTCTTTCGCTGTCTTCTCTCTGCCTTTAGCAGCCGCGTCGCTGCTGGAAAAGTTTTGCTGTTGGGCACAGAGTGTGTGTGACGAGTGACAGCCCCGCCACCGAGTGTGGGAGTTGCAGCCCTCGTTGCACACGAATGGGAAACGTTTCCGTACCGCTCTTCTACCGGAGATCCATCGGCAGCGCTTGCTGGCACAGAATGAAGAGCCCCCACAAGTGAGGGGCAGGCCCCCGGCTGCCGGTTCCCCCTCTGCCCCCGCTCCTCTCTGCTCCTCTTCAGCCGCTCCTTCCCCAAACAGGTTGCTCCCTTCTCACACAGCGCCAGCACTCCACAGCTTTTGGGAAAGATCAGTGCCCAGAGGAGCCCCAGGCAGGAGCTGAGGGGCCGGGGACACCCCAGCTACTTCTTTGCCCGTGGTGGCACATGCACAGCTGGAGGGGAGAAAACATGCTCATCTCAGTGGTTAGCACCGAAGGTACAGTTACAGCACAGGTTCCCCAGCAGGTCCCTGGGCTCTAGATCTACAGCCAGGTGCAGAGTGCAGCAAAGTGCAGCCTTCCCTTGTGTTTTGTTCCCAACATCCCTGAAGCCAGCCAAACGCTGCATCCTGCACCCGAGCCTGATGCTGTGTGACCACTGTGGCCTCAGAGGGGCTGCTGGAGCTGCTCAGCTTTCTCTCTGCATCCTGTTTCACCAGCTGAGCTCACTGTGATCCCTCAGGGTGGCTGGTGCTGGGTGTCTGGCTGCCATCCAGCACCACTCTCCGAGGCAGGAGCATCTCTGCACAGTCAGGTGAGGACTGCTGACTGCTCAGACCATGCTACAAACCTGCTGTGCCTCAGGGATCCTGCTCTTGTCACAGCTGCCTTTGAGCTGGAGGAGTTGGCAGGACACCCCTCCAACGTGGTGAGCTGAGCTCCACAGAGATATTGAATACAAGGGGCTATTGAACAGGAAATTAAAAGCAAGCTGGTGGGTGGTTATCACGAGTGAGCTCTGACCTTTTACAAAGTGCCTACAGTTCCTGTGTATTTTCAGGAAAGCATTTGCTGCCGGTGGGACCAGGCTACCATTTTCTCTGCTGCAAAGTTTCAGTGCTGCTTGCTCTGCCAGACCTCTCCATCAGAGGACTGGGAGAGCAGTACTGGGGTGGGAGAGCAGACCCAGGGGGGTCAGAGCAGCATCCATGCACCCCAGGAGCTTGTTGTGCTGCTGCCTGTCTCCTTCAGTGCCCACAGCTGCAGTGCTGGGTTTTGGGAGCTCACTGACAGGCAGTGGATCTCACCTCTCTGTCCTCCCCCAGCAGTGGCCTGGGAATGAAAGGGGGATTTTTCATGCTGTGCTCAGCACAGTATTTTACTGTGCTTCTGTCCCACTACTAAATGCTTTATGTATCCCTCTGCCAGTAATGCCAAATTCCTGTTTTCTTCTCCTAACAAAATCTCACGCTTCAGTTTCCTGACCGTGCTCCCCAGCTCAGCCTTCCCAGGTAAGCTGCTCTCTCTGTCTCCATTTATTTACAGGCCAGACAAACCCTAATCCATCTCTGACTCTATTCTCTTACCCTCTGCACCTCCTGAAACCTCCATACCCTCATATCTCCAGTTATTACTCTATTTCTAACTTCTAGCTGCTTCCCCCTTGCCTTTTCCTACTTTTTTTCCCCAGCCCATGAACATAACCATCTATTTTTGCCATCAGCTGCTGCTCTCTAAGCCCTGCAGTCCTGCTGGGCTAGTTTTGGGGAGAGATGTGGTTTTGAACACCAAGCACCTTTCTCTGCAGCATTGAGGTGCTTTCAAAACCACCTTAAAAATGGCTCAAGGTTTGGCAGGTCTGCAGCGATTTGAAAGCAATCACATTCAAATCTGGAGGGAGGAAGCTTGGCTGAAATCGCCCCCGAGTTACCTATTGCTGAGGACCTCAGCAGTACAATAACCTCTTTGAGGGATTCCAGGGCCAGATCCATGAAAACTCTCTTTCAGTGAATGAGAACCTGATGACATTCTCATTTCTGGGCTGAATATTTTGAACTGGTGCATTATGCACCAGACTGAAAGAATCCTTCTTGAGGGAATAAAACTGTTCTTTTAGAAAGCAGAGGGAAGGATTCCTGTTCTAGCAAGAGGTAAGGTGAACACTTTCAAACCAATTCTCCAAATAAAGGATTGCAGCTCAGTAGGAGACACAAATAACCAACTGCTTGACGAGTAGTGTGCAGAATCCTTGCTCTTATTTGCTTTAATTTATCTCCTAAGCATTCTAGAGCCTTCTGCTGTCTGTAAACTACACCTAATAGAGTGGGCAGAAGTATAATCCATTGTTTTGTGGCTTTCTGTTGTAGAAGGGGCTTTTTGTATTCTTCAGAAGTGAAATCTTGTTTTTGCTTTCATTCTTTTGCTACCTGTAACGGGATTCTGCTGTTTCCTTTCCTCTTGAGGTTTCTGCATATTTCTACATTATTGTTCTAATGTTCTGGTGACCATTAGAACATTTGTCTTGTCCCTTCCATGAGAGAGTCTTAGGGATGATGTAGTCAGTGTTTGTCCTTGTCAGAGCAGGGACTGAGTTCACAAGCCCAATTTCCATCAGTTATATTCCCAGTAGCTTGTGGCTGTTGCCAAGTATGGAGGAACTGTGGTTGGTAAAATCTGTGATAAATCTCAGTAAGAAGTTTACTTTCAGCTGTTGAAGCACAGCCCACCACAGACATCTTCTAGGACCTGTCTTCATCTGAGTCTAGGTGTGAGGAAGATCCAGACCCTTCCTGAAACAGCACCAGGGGGCTGCTTTGTGTGTGGTGGAGAAAGCTGACAGCAGTGCTGTGTTTTGGGCTCAGTTAGAGGAATAGCTGTGCACACCCCCTGGGCTTGTGCTGGTCTCTAAAACCTGAGTGGGAGTGCTGATTGGGAGGTCTCAAGTTCCTCAAGTTACAGAAACTGGTTTAAAACATGTGGGAAGTGTATGTTTCTTGATTTTTCATTCTCTTTGGGAAACATCTGGGTTCCTTTACAGCCAGAAAGCAGAGGGATGCAGCAGGCATGGTGTGGGTGTTCTGGAGGTGAGTGTGATACTGAATAATTTGGCTTTTTGTGGAGGATCCAACAAATCATCATCCAGGATGGAGGATGAAAGAGCATTGGCAATACATTAACACCCTGGGTGTCAGATTAGTGCATGCTGTTTGAAGTCTCCTATGGCATGTATCCCACACCCCTGTCCTTTCCTTTTTGGAGGTGAAAGTGGTTCTGTGTGCAGACATTAGTACAAGCTGTGTTACATCTCTGGGAGGTGCTGTTCACTTACTCCATGTATTTCATTCTTCACATGTATTTGCTTATTCTTCCTCCAATCTATCACATTATCTGCTTTCCTCATTCAGGGCCCTGTCAAACTTCCTTAGGTCTGTGAAGCACAGGAACTGCTGAGAGAGAAAATTGTCTCAAATCTAGAATTTCAGAGGCATGACCTTGTCTTTAGTTTTGCAGGTAATAAGTGGCAAGTGTTGACATGGGGATGCTGACTAAAAAAGCATCTTTAACATGTGGTTGCTACTGCCTAGCAGAGTGTTTATGTCTCAAGTGAAATGTTTATTCCTGTTTTGAAGAGGGAGCTAGCAACAAAACCAGAGCAGTGTGATGGGTACTGTGCATATTGGAAGTCAGATCTGTCAGGCAGGTTGTCTCACCTTATCTTACGTAGATAAGAACATAGCTTGAAGGGGTGTTGGCCTGTTCATAAGATGTTGGAGAAAAGGGAAGCCACATCACAAGATATCAACCTTGTGTAGTTAACATCCAAACTATCAGAAGATGTCTAAGGAGAACTTGAACTTATTTTTTTATTTTAAAATACTAGCTCTTAAACATTAAATAAAATTGTACATTATTCACAGGCTGGACACCTATTTTCTTAAATCATATGTGAACCCACGATTTCTCTATGTGGCCCAAGTCCTCCATGTCTGTCTGGATGAGTTCATAGTAACCCAGTATGTTAATTTGGCATTGCAGGCTTAAAAGACAAGTGAACAAGCCATTTATCATGATTGTTTTTTTACCTTAATATCCAAAACAGTGGTTTCCAAGCTCCAGATCAAATTTATTCTGACTTTTTACCTAGATGTACTTAGAGCAGCTGATGTGCAGGACAGTGCTGGGGGAGTGTTACACACTGTGCTGAGCACAGGCAGTTGTGCCCAGGTTATAGTTTATAAAGTTGGGATTTATTTAGGTCTTTACCTGAAACTTGGGAGCAGCCTCATTTCTCAGAGTTAAATAACAAAATTATTACAAGCTTCAAGCCTGAAACAGGACAGGAGAAGTAGAGAAGGGAATTTAAATCTTAGTAATGAAGATACTACCAATGGTGTTAGGCTCACTAGAGTTCAGCTGCCTTTGTAGGCTGAGTCCCCTGGATTTTACAGTCTAAGCATTTAATCAATACCTGGGCCATTAAATGTCATCAAAACCTGGTGGGATTTGTTATGAGGAATAGAATGTCATGTGGAACAGCCATGTTGCTGCCTGCTCTACAACTTGGAGTTTGAGTTCTTTGTATTAAATGTTAACTAGAATAAATTTTCCTATCACTTGGCTTTCCATGCATGTTTCTGCAACCAACTTAGCAAAGATCCTCTCTGTATTAATAACTGAAGTGAATGACAGTGAATTCATGCATTATGGAAGGGTTTCTTAATTAATAGGGCTCACAGATATCTCAATCTGAAGAAGGTGCCCAAGCAGCAGCCACTGGCTATGGTTTAGTTCTTTGGAGTACAGTGCCTGCAGTGGCTTCAGTAATAGCTGGGCCATATTCTTTAATCACAATGACAATCAGGATTGTGTAATTTTTTGCCTTCCTCTGCCTTTTAACATTTTTATTTATTTAATCAGTGGTATAGGAAAGATATTTGCTCAAAACTAGGTATTGCCAGGTTGTTTCTCTGTTCCAAACCTCTCATCTAAATCTGTGGTTGCAGGCATTGTTATTTTGTACACTTACTGTGTAAGTGGTTTCATTTAGCTCTCCTTGTTAGTGTTTTGTTTGGGGTTTTTTTTAAATATAGAATCCCTCTGAAAAGAAATTAATTAGGATGGCATACTGGAAAAAACAGTTTGGATTTGTCCCCTGTTCCTAAACAAAATTTAATAGGAAACTTTTGGATAGTGTTCCCCTCGTTGGGGATCCAGCTAACCATCACTGGCAGGTATTTATTTCGGAAAGATTGCTTTGCATAGACAGAACTTGGCAGAGAGTTTGCCCATGAAGAGACATGGAATAATAGGAAGTCAGTTGTTTGGGGGATTTTAAATAGCTTTTTTTCCCCCCCTCCTTCTGTCCGTGTTGCATCTGAAGGTCTCACCATGGTGGAGAGAGGCCTCTGTCCATGAGAGTGCTGGGGACAGGGGCTGGGTGGGTGCTCACACACACTGAGACCTGACCAGTAGCTGGTGGCAGGCCTGGCCTGGACCCTCTTCCAATCTCCTGTCTGGTGGGTAAGCAGGGACCAGACTGTATGAGTTTAACTGGGAAAAGGGTCAGAGAAATGAGAAGGGTTTCCAGAAAGGTGTCACTGAGTGGCAGGGGTCTCCAAGCCCATGCTCCTGTCCATCTGTAGAAACCAGTCATCCCTGCATAGGCATGAGTGCATTGGAAAGGATAAACACCAAGGCAGGGTCAACCCTTGCCTGGCCCAAGCCCTCCCAAGTCCAGAAATGAGCTGTGAGCTGATGTAGGGGTACCTGTTCACCCCTGCCCTGCTGCCTTTGTGCAGGCACACAAGCAGGAGGCACTTCACTCCTGGATGCTCTGCACTCAGTGTCTGAATTCCTCTGGCTGCACACAGAGCTAATTCATTGGGAATTCTGGTTTGGGGTGGGACAGGTGACTGGCAGTGCAGAGTTAGCAGATGCCTCGAGGCTGTGGTGTGCTGTAATTTGGTTAAAAATAAGTTGTGTACCTGAGAGTGTGTGGGGACATCTGGTAAAGCAGGTCAGTTCCATGCTTGTTTGCATGTTTATACTGCCCATACCAAGTGCTCACTGGTTCTCCTGTGTTGGTGTGAGCTCCAAGGAAGTTCCTCAGCCAATACTTGTGGGCATTGTACTCCACGTGGGCCAGGGAAGGCTGTGAACCCTTTACTGGGCTCTGGTTTATTTTGAGGTGCAATTTGAATGTGGATTGGACTAGGTTTGCTCAAGAACCACAAAGTCGTGTCTGTTTGGATCCATCCTTAATTTAGGTAGGGACTGTGCACTTCAGAGCTTCTTTTTCCTTCTGTGGATGGGAGATGGTAAGCATTTAATGTGATACTTCTCTTGTCTTCTCCATGATGAATTTTTTTCTGTCTCCAGTAACAATTTTGATACAATGGGCAATGTGCTTTGAAGGTATGAACAAACTGTCCCCGAAATACCTATTTTGGTAGGAATTTTTGCTTGCTGGGTCACATGAAAGCCGTTGGCTTGGTCATATGCAGATAGCCTTTTAGAAGACCTGAGAAGGTGGCCAAAGCAGCTGAGTGAGAGGGGCAGTGAATCTAGAGAGCTTTCTCTGCAGGGGCAGTGAATCCTGAGAGCTTTCTCTGCAGGGATTTTGGGTGCCCAGAGTGGGGAAACGTCTGAGGCCAGCCCTAGGTACACAGATAGGCCTGAATGGCCATCTCTCTGTGGCTGGAGGGTTCTGCAGATGTTTTGTCTGTACTTGGGGCAGATGGGAGGATTATCATACCATAGACCTCTCTCTATGCTTTTACCACATCAGAAGGAATTGTAGATTTAATGCTACAGCTTGGCTGAATGAACAAGATATAATTGGCCCAGGAGGGGCAGAATGAGAAATGTGGTTGTCCTTTTGTTTACCATTTGCAAGAGGGAAACCATTTCAATTCCTCTTCCATCACATCCTGGAATTCTAGAGTGCATTTGATGCAATATAAAATGTGTTCTTAATGCATTGAGAATAACTCAGGTGAATAATCAAAATCAAACATGAAAGAATCAGCTTGGATAGTTTGACTTGTTACAAGGCAGCGTGGTGAAGATTAGAAGGTTCTGTGGAAGTACCTGATTGCAAAGATCAGATTGGCTCCGTAAAAATATTCAGTTTTTTTCTTCTATAAGCAAAGATCTTGTGGTAGTTTGGAACTTTCTTTGCAAGAAAATGGACCTGATGTTTTATTTGCAACAGGATACTGAATATAAAAAAGCATCTATTGAATCTTCCTTTGCTGTGTTCTATACCCTTTGTTCTTTATGTTGGCTAGAATAATTATTCCTGAAGTCTCAATTTTTTTTAAAGTTAATTATTATGTAAGGGAATTAGTTGTTTTTCAGCTTTACTCTTGCCCTGACTGTGATTTAGCTCCATCCTCATTTATGTAAATGAAGTTTCATGTTGCTTTGAGTAGTATAAGTATTCATTAAGTGGAGATTTAATTTCTTTTTTTTTTACAAAGATGGCAAAATTAGAAGGTTAGCTAAGTCATATTATTTTTCTTGTAAACAGGTATTACAGAATTTGTGATTATATAAATATAAAAGTATAAATATATTTACACACACACATATATATACTTGGCCCTTATAATTTAATCCACACATCTGAAGTCATCGTGAGTACTGAGTATCAGGAGTGTCCTGGGCTGTCTTACAGCCAAAACCTTACAGCTCAGGCTGCAAGAGAGGAGCTTTTGTTACATTTGTTCTACACTGCAAAGGCAGCAGTATTACCTCCATGACTATGTAAGAATCTAAGAAATTGATTGTAGGATAACAGATTCCAGAATTGGAAGAGCAGCATAAATGAATAAAGGTGCAAAATTACAGACGAGTTTTTTTCTTTGAAAGCTCATTTGTTTTTCCATTTTATGTGCCATTCTAATGAAGTGTCCTGCATCTCTCCCAGTTCTTGTTCCTCTTGCATTTATTTTGTCCTTGGCTCATTCAAGGTTATATGCATGAACATACTTGTTTTTCATGATTAAATATGTGTATAAACCCATCAAATGGTGTGATTTAATAAATAGGTTTGAAATTATGCATTTTACTAATCTGGGACACCGTCCACTTATGAACGTGTCTGAAAGCATTTCTTTGGGCAGAGTGCCTGTTTAAACTTCTGTTCCTTATCTGTCCTTCAGAGTAATCAGTGTGTTTTTAAACTGAGGGGAAGGTCTGAAACATTTATTTTGGCATTTGCTTCAACAGTGTGATTGTGGTTGGTTGATTTGATTTCCTCAGTAACCAAAAAAATCCCCCAAAGTAATTTCTCCTTCATCATCTAATTAAATGCAAACACTACACGTGTTTTCTGTAGGTGATCAAAATTCATGGCATAAATGTCAACCCTTAGCAGTCTGTAGCAATGGAAATGGGATATTTAGTCTGCTTCAGCATTTAACATGATATGCTGGATTCAGGTGAAATGTGGGTAAGACATTGTGTCAACTTTACTGGAATGACGTCTAGAATATTGCAAACTGTTTATTAATGAAGTTATTAAGTTTCCACGTACTAAATATTACAGAAAGAGAAAACATTGTCATGTATGTGTAGTGAAATAATCCAGTATTAAAAATACTAACATTTTTTTACATATTTTACAAATCCATGGCAGATTTCCCTATGGATTCTAATAACGGCAACTGTAGAGGTGCTGGCATTGGTAAGTACATTTTTATAAAACTGTATAATAAGTAATAAAACTGTCTAATAATTTTTATAAAATTGTATAATAAGCTGTATACTTTCAAATCCTTTAAATATTTGATTAAGAGGGGTACTAAGTGATAAATACTTAGTCTTGACTGAGAATACTGCAGATTTTGCTTTTGCATTCCATGGGGAGGTGAGATTTGGGGGCTGGTCAGCCTCAAAATGTCCATCAAAGCAGGAGGGCTGTGCTTATTTTATTTAAAGTTTTGTCTTGAACAGAGAGAATAGTCATTAAATTGATTTTTCCCTGGGCAAAACCAGCGAAGATAATGGTTCATTTTGACCTTAAAGTTTTCAAATGAAATTCAGTACTGTTTGTAGATAATGGCAGTGCTCCCTTTAGCCTGAGGAGGTTGAGGGTGGCACCTTCTGAGACTGGTTTTATTCCAGCAAGTCCCTTGTTGCTTTTTATTGCTGTTTTGGTTTTGCTGGAACTGAATAAAACCCCTTGAGCATTACCACTTCTTGCCAATGCAAAGAAGCAAAGCCCAGGATGGTGGCTAATAATTATAGCAATGTGAATCTTTTGCTAAAGCAAGCCAATGACTGTAGATTTCCTTGAATTTTATTATGATTCCATCCAAAGTTCTCCTCTTAGATCTTTGTCAAGAAATTGAGACTTGGAATCCCTAGCATTGACCTCCATGTCTTTCCTTCTGCAGAGGTGCTGATGAGCTACAGTGTGCACTGATGTTCACCTAAAAGGTGTTGAACCTAACATTAGGTACCTATAGATATAATTTCAGCATTAAGCTCTGTGACCAAACTGCAAAAAGGTGTTAGTAATACCCAGTTTATAATACAGTTTAAAATTTTAATCAGTAGGTCCTAATGTGAAAGCAGCTATATTTGTGCAAAATGTTTTTTAAATCACAGTGCATACCCTCTAGAAGCCCAGGTACAGTTAAAAAAACCTCATAAAAGCAAGCCCCTTAACAGGCTTTGCTTTAAATTGTCTTGAGCATGGCACCATGTCTGGAGGACTTGCTAAAGATATTTGTTACTAATGTTAGTGTCTTCTTAGTTTGAAGCCATTTTCAGTTGTGTGGCATTGAGAAAGCTGGGATTTCATGCACCATGTGGACTGTACAGAGAGAATACAAGCTTCACTCTGAGCATGAAGCAAAGCTGTGTGCTCTCATTGTCACCTTAAATCAAAACTATGAGGCATATCTTTACTGCTGCCTGTCCATAGGCATGTAATTCCAGTGAGTGACCCTGCAGTGGAAGAGGAAATTTCAGTGACATTGTTCCTGTTGTGATGCTTTTTGATGGCTGAAAACAAAACCAGACCTAAAAAAAAATCCCATCTAGAAAATAGACTAAGGATGTACAGAAAAATTGCTGCTGCAATATCTGCTTTTACTGTTCAAACATGATTTCTAGTTCAGTGTGCTATGTCTGTCTGAACTGACAAACACAGTTGGACCACCTAAAAGGCCATGTTTTAAAATGGCTTTGTTTATGTGTTCAGTAAAGTAAATTTAGAGCAGTTTTGTTTGTTTGTTTTGCAAGTAGCAAATTGATGTGGTTTTTTTTTTAAGTAATATCATTCTCAGCTTTGTGCTTTCTGCATCTTATTGTTTGTGCTGCTGTGCAAGGTCACAGGGAGCAGTACTCATAGGTTATCCCTATTTGAGACACCTTTTTTCCCTGTCAGTGTCTGCTGGCAAAACCTTCCCTCTCAGTCTGCATGGAGGTTTTTTTGGAGACCTTTTTTACCTCTGTTGGCAGTGAAGTCCATTGTTTTCTGCTTCATCACATGCTCCTCAAGTCTCTTAGAAAATGTTCTAGAGTGTTTATTTTATATCCTTTGTTGACCTGGGAGGTGTTTGCCAGGTTTGAGTGCCTGTATAGGTCAGGATTACAGCCAGGTTTTCCATCATGCATACACATATATTTAAGATGGCACAGATGTTTCTTGGTAGCAATCCATGGGGAAAACCATTCTCTCTGTGTCTTTTGGCATTGACAGAGTGAAGTTTTCAGAGACAGAGACTTTGAGCAGTTTGTAGTCCTGTATTTACTTGAAAAGAAGATTTAATGGCTAGCTGTGATCTCAGCCAAAGCCAGTGGGAGCCTCTGCTGCCTGTCTCTGTGCTGGGGACATGGCATTGTTGTGGTGTCAGGGCTCTTGTGCTAATCCTGGCAGCTTCTGAGGAGGCTGTCAGGTAGGATGGGATTTTCCCTCAGCATCAGGTGATGCAGTACATTTTTATAGCCACCTTTTGTGGGTGTTTCCACTCCCTGGGGGAAGGCCAACATTTGCCTTCCTTGGAAAATCACTGTACCAGGAGCTGGGAGAGAGGAATGGCTCTAACTTTGTAACTGACCTTGGCAAATGACTTTTGTGTTAGTTTCAGAATCTCTAAATAGTGATTAGGAATAATGCAGCATTTTGTACAGTTCTTTTAAATGTAAATTTAAAAAGCATGAGGGTGACTTGGAGGTTCTTCAGTGTAGAAGCGAAGGGAGACGATCCCATCCTTTGATCAGCATTGAACTCCGAAGTATTGATCCACCAGGCACATTTTATAACAGTGTTAATTAAGCTCATACATATTGCAAAACCCGAGCTCATCATTGGTTACAGATTAAACATTAATCCCTCCTTTTGTTTCTAATACCTGTGGTTTGTTATTGAAACCAAGATTTGTTTTCTCACCCTGATATGAATGGTTCTCAAGGCCTCCATGTTTGTCACTTTTGCTTTCCCATAACTTATCCAAGGACAAGATATTTACTTGTTATTAAAAAACAACCTGAGAACTTCTGCTGTTTACAGAAATGTGCCTGAGAACCTTGTTGTTTACAGAAACAGGCTTGAGAATTTGCTCCTCACAGCTGCCTTTTACTTTTCCATCAGCTGTATGTGATTATGGCATGTCTGAACAAAACTCTATAAGCCATTTCTGAGCAAAATTCTCCAACACTTCAGTATGAACATGACATATGAGCATGTCAATAATTTAGAAATAGACTAACAAAATATATTCTAAAATTAATAAAATAATACTGCCTTAAAACTGAAGGAAATGTGAGGCTGTGTTCTTGTCTTGCAATTTAGCCTATTTTATTTTACCTGGGACACAGTGCAAAGTTCTGCAGAGCAGGAGAACATTATAATGTGCCACTTGCTGGACTTGAGTGCTAAAGTGCTTGTGTGAGTGTGGATCACAGGAGCACATCTTTTATTCTCTGCTCCAAGGCAGCTGTCATGTGGCCTGCAGTATCCATGAGCTCACAAAGGCAGAAGGGAAGCCAGAAATCACTTCCCTTCTCTGCTTTTGTTGTTTTAACACAAACATGTAGAAAAGTTAAAGTCTGTAGGGCTCTATATATAGATTGCTGAGGATGTGTTTGAAATTCAAGGAAATAATATACTTTTCTTTTGAAATGTTTTCCTCTTTCCTGTATTTTTTTGGTATTTTCAACTACAAAAATTCTTCCAATGGAAAATAATGATTCCATCAATTTTAATTTTTTTTTAATATGCAGGAATCTTATATAATCAAATAAAAGTTATTTTTCAGACTCTTCATGTTAGATTTAACTAAACCACTAGCTTATATGCATTGATACTTAGAATGATGGTGCATAGAAATAAACTGCATTAAATCTACTTCCATTTATGCCAAATCAAATGTCAAAATAGATGCACATGCACATGTAATACTGGGATCTGCTGTTTGAAATTACTCCACCAAACCACACTTAGACACTGGTGTAAAATAAAAAGTAAATATTTGCAGTAGAACAACCAGACCTGAAATACCAGTGGTGTTAATGAACACCACTGTGGCTCTGGAGTTCAGCATTAGCATTCCCTGGGCACTAATGAAAATGTTTTTACCTCTCTTAGAGTTCCCAGCTGTCTGGCATCTGCACCTTTGGAAATGCTGCTCTGACAGTGCTCATTTGTGTTGTTTTTTTGAAGGCTGTGCTTCTGGCCACAAGGGCTAAGAAATTCTCTCTTTTCATTAAACTTGGGCTTCTGGGTCATAATAAAATTGTGTAAAATTTACACCATTCCTCGTGGTGGATTGGATGGGCCTCTCAGCAACCTGATCCAGTTGAAGATGTCCCTGCTTATTTGCAAGGGGGTTGGACTAGGTGGCCTTTAAAGGTCCCTTCCAGTGCTAAATATTGTGTGAATGCTTGCTGGCCAGAATATCCCAGTTTGCTCAACTGAGATACTGACCTGATAATACTCAAAAAAATGTTCAGTCATGCACTGCCACAATATTTTCTTTCTGTGTCTCTGTTATGGTCTGTATGATAAAAGGAACAGAAAGGAGGGCATTCCTTAAGTCCAGCACAGAAGAGAGAGCAGCATTGCAAGGATGGAATTACAGCACCTATGAGCACAGAATTGAACATTGAATTGGCTTAAAATCATGGTTTTGTCACTCCTGTCTCAAAGTCTGTGTGTCTTTGTTGTTGTGCTGTGGTTTGTTTTTGGTTTTTATTTTTTTAATTTCAGTATGTCAGGTTGTTCTCCTAAAAAATATTTAAGGTCTCATGGGCAGTTCCTCATCTCCCAGCAGAACAGGCCAGGAATGCCCTGTGGTTTTTAGTGTTTCACCGTAATAAGCAAGTCAGTTCAGTGAAATTTTTGTTAGGTGTTTTTTGATTTAACCCTTTTCTGACTTAGAGATGGGGTAACTGAGAGGTGTTTTAAAAACTTTTGTTCCATTTTCAGTCCCATGAGAAGGGTGAGACAATACAAGATGTTATAATTCACACCATCCCAATCAAATAACTTTTGTGTTAGTTTCTGTATCTCTAAATAGTGATTAGGAATAATGCAGCATTTTGTACAGTTTTTATAAAAGTAAATTTAAAAAGCATGAGGGTGACTAGGATGTTCTTCAATAAGAACATGGGTGTGTCAATAATTTAGAGATAGAACTAGACTAACAAAATACATTCTAAAATTCATAAAATAAGCCAATACTGCCTTAAAACTGAAGGAAATGTGAGGCTGTGTTCTTGTCTTGCAATTTAGTCTGTTTTATTTTACCTGGGTCTAATCAGAAGCCAACTATTTCCTAATTACAATACACTATAAGTGTTTCTTGGCTTAACAAGATTTAACAGATCAAATTAAAACAGGTGATAGATCATAGTTGGATGACTTGTTTAAAAGATCAAGTTTTACACATTATCTAAAAAAGGTAAAGGTATAAGATAAATTTATGTGCATTAATTATTATAATAATAATGTTAAGAATAGTATCTTGTGTACTTCAGTGTATGGGGCGGTCAATGAGCAAAACCATCAAATTTATTTATTGGGTTTATTTTCTATGAATCCAATTCCCACACTGTGTGAGCTCCAGGTTTTGGGAAGATTGTCACTGAATACATGTTTTTTTTCTTTCTAAACAAAGCTTTTTGTTTCTGTAGAGCGCTGCAAGTGCAAGCCAGTGAAAGCTACCCAGAAGACCTACCTACGGAACAACTACAACTATGGTGAGAGCAGCTGCACTGCCAGCTCCCAGCCCTTCTAAACCTGCAGCAAGGGGCAACTTCTCATTAAAAAAGCCTAAAAACTTCACTGTTACTGCTGCTAACCCAATATTGCTTATTGCAGGAGGAAGGTGTAGATTGGACCATTTCCAAATTAGAAGGATGGAGGGGATTAGCTTGATATGTTAGTACAAGGGTATCTTGGCTATTTCAGTTTTAGTGCAGGCATTTGGGGTTTGTGTACTTGTCTGGTGTGAACAGTGATGCAACAGAAATGGCATTGTGGGCTGCTGTGCCTGAGCTGCCTCTGTGATTGCCAGTACCCTCAGCTTTTGCAGAAGGGCATGTTTGTAGCAGCTTTCATGCCCACTAGCTCTCCATGAGATCTGACAGGTTCTTTTCCTTCTGGTGTCTCAAAGCCAGCAGTGAGCATCTTGCCAGCTGTGTTAGGCTGTCAGTAACACCTGTAAAAGTGCACATGGCCTGCTCTTCAGGCATATCACAGCTCCAGGCTCATGTTTTTCTTCATACTGCTTGTTTCAAGCAAATTAGGCCAATGAAGTCACTAAATACACATCACAGGGACTGAACAATTGAGTCCTTCCTAATTGTAAAAACCAGGCCTTTTTAAGCAGTTAAGCCTTAATCAGTTATGAACTTAAAGTATCTGTATCAGCTGTATCAGTTACAAACTTAAAGTTAAAACTTTATTAGTTTTAAACCATTACAAACATAATCCAACCAACCACCCTACACCACAAGGTGAGCACATCATGGTTATGTAACTTCTTTTTCTACCCCTAATTCAGCTCAGTCACTTTCCCACAGTCCTTTTCTGCTTAGCCAAAGTTGCAGGCCTGAGCAATGATTTTACAAGGGTAACAAGCCCTTATTTTATAAAGCTTTATCAATATGCAGTACTTCCTTTTTTCCCATTAATCAGATGGAGAGCTTTAGGGTCAGCCAGCATTAAGGCTTTATTTAAATTGGAGTAATTGTATAATACTTATTAGGATTGCACATTTATAAAGCTAGAATCAGATAATCTTATTTTAAAAGTAGTTTGCTATTAAAAGCTAAAAAATTGCAGCTGTATTCAAACACTTTTTTGGTCAATAGTTTGATGTAGTTTTGTTGGATTTGCTTTTAAAAAAATTAGAATGACTATTCTCTAGTCAGAAACTGCATATGGCAGAGTCATTGAGCATGCTCCTGTCCATTTTCTCAATTCTGAAATTAAATAGGTTTCAAAAGGCATTTGAAATATCTCCAAACTAAAATAATATTTTATTTTTGGATCTTAAAAGGTTTTGAGAAAGGGAATCACTTGGGGTAAGCTGTGCATACTAGATGCACAAGTTGGTGTTTGTTGGCAACTGTATTTAATGTGCCTGCAAGACATGCTGGGTAATGGCTGTTATGGGGAGGAGATGTGCAAGTCCATGGTTTTCTTTCTTCTCTATTACCTTTTCCACGCAGGAGACATTTGGAATTTGGGCTATCTCCCATTTATAGTGTGGCAAGGGACTCTTTGAATGATGTGGCATTCTCTAGAGCATGACCTCTGGGTTGGCTTTGCATTTGTATGTGGTATCAGTTCACTGGTCACCCTGAGAGAATGAAAATCTTTGCCTTTGAAAGGCAACCTTTCCTCCTGTGCAACTTGAAGCAAAAAGAGAGGCCAAGAGAGGAAACAATTAGAGAGGTCATTGGGTCAAGATCAGGAGCATTTGAAGTTCAGAAAGAGCAGAGCAGATTAGTGCTGGGTCACTGGAGAGAATAGAAAAGGCAAGGAGCTGTCATCCAGCAGAAGTAGTGATATGAGAGGTTTTAATGCACATTCCCTTTCTGTGTAAGGTTCAGAGTGATAAATTATGCTCATCTGTACTGCAGGTAGTCAGAGAGGGAACAGTCACAGCTCAAGGGAGAGGGAGAGCACACAAGAAATAGATTTAATGTATTTAACATAAAAAGGGTGAAGAAAAAAGGAAGGAAGTCAAAGCCCAACTTAAGCAGGACATAAATCCAATGGGTACATAAGTCCTGCTCCTGACCATATTATTAAGGGACACACTGAGCTACCTGGACCTCCTTGGTGGAGGGTGAAGTAGTGAAGAGATGGAGGCAGAGACATTGCAGGAGTTCAGCTAACTTCTGATGAGGGACCATGCAAAAGAGTAATGCCAGGGGTCACCAAGAGCAGCTGGGGAGTGACCTGCATTATCTGCTGCTGCTAACAATGCTCTTTGTGGCTTTCCCCAGTCATCCGCGCTAAAGTGAAGGAGGTGAAGACTAAATGCCACGATGTCACTGCAGTAGTGGAAGTGAAGGAGATCCTGAAATCTTCCCTGGTCAACATCCCAAAGGACACTGTAAACCTCCATACGAATTCTGGCTGCCTGTGTCCCCCCCTCAGTGCCAATGAGGAATACATCATTATGGGCTACGAGGATGAGGAGCGCTCCAGGTAACTCCTCCTGTGCTGTCCTCAGCTGTTCTCCTGTCATAAAGCTCAAAGTGAGAGCCAAAAGGAAGGAAAACTTGGTCTTCAGGGAGGGCAAGTCTCTCTACAGGCACAGAGATTTTAGTTTTGTGTGTGCTGGGTTGTATAGCCTCTTGATGGATTTGTCTCTGTTGTATAGGTTACTCTTGGTGGAAGGCTCCATAGCTGAGAAGTGGAAGGAACGTCTTGGTAAAAAAATAAAGGTAAGAAAATACCTCACCAGAAGCCAAATGTTGTGGGTACCATAAAACATCTACCTGTCTTTTCAAAATAAGGGAAGAAAATTTGTGTGCTGCCTCCAGTTAATCAATATCATGTATCAAAAACCAACTTGGTCTGTTATTTGCTTTATTACTTAGAACAGCATGCTGAGTAAATTAAAGGGATACATTGAATTACCCCAAAGTATCCTGTTGTAACAGTAGTCAAAAGCTCTGTCTCAAAAAAGCAAATAGCAGGGGACTTTTAACTCTGTAGCAAGCTGTGTGTTCCACAACACATACCTGCTTAGTTGGGGTTGTCATATGAATTTTAAAAAACCAAACAGACCAGGGGGGTTTGCAAATGTTTTTCAGACCATGTCATGGGCAGGGACACTTTCCACTAGACCAGGCTGTACCAGGCCCCATCCAACCTGGGCTTGGGCACTTCCAGGGATGGGGCAGCCACAGCTTCTCTGGGCAACCTCTGCCAGGGCCTCACCACCCTCACAGCCAAGAATTTCTTCCCTATATTTTATATAATCTAATCTAATCTGATCTAATCTAATCTCTGTCACTTTAAAGCCATTGCCCCTTGTCCTGTCATTAAATGCTCTTGTAAAAAGTCCTTCCCCATCTCTGTTGTAGCCCCTTTAGGTATTGGAAGGTCCTCTAAGATCTCCCTGAACCCTTCTCCAGGCTGACCACCCCCAACTCTCTATATGAAAATATATTTTGGTTTTTTTTTTACTTAAATGTTTTCTAATGCCTTCCAGGTTCTGGAAGGATTTCCTTTTTATGTTCTGATGCACTGCAACGTGTCAGTAGTTTTGACATTGTCAGGAGTGTCACTTTACACTGAATATTCTTATTTTAACATAATTTCTCAGCCATACATTTGCCATAGTGGTTTTGCCTGTGCAAACCAGTCTTCTCTTCCACTCAGCACTTTCTTCATCAGTGTCAGGATCACTGGCAGGAAAATGCTGTTGTGTTTATAAAAGCAAGGTTTTCTGTACACATTTCTCACGTCAGTGGAGATTACAGGAGTGAAAGATACAGGGATCTTATTTCAAGTTGTTGTTTGATTTGGCAGAGCCCTGGGAAATCCAGTGGCACTGAGAAAATATCATTTTGCTGCCATGGGCTGACTTCTGCTCAGTTTCAGCTCTTGGGTGATAACATTATTTGTTGGAATTTTTTGGGGGAACATGCTTTCTCACTTCCTTCCTAATTGTCTGTAGCTTGCTGCCTCTGCCCTCACACCCAGCCTGGGGGTGTTGAGGACCCTGCCACATCACCACCCACTTCTTATCATCATCTTCCTTTCCAAGAGCATCAACAGTTGTGCAAACTACATTTATTATGTCTTTTTATTGTTGTTGTTTTTACTGTAATTTCTATTGCCTGCAAAAATATTTTTTTTTTTTTAATTAACAAAAACCCCTTAACTTTTTTTTCCTCCTGCTTCCCCCAAAAACCACATGAGTGGCTTCATTTAAATTTTATTATTTAGAAGGTGAGTCCCCCTTGTGCTGAAGTTTGGATCAGACCCTTCATTCCCAGAGGCTGCAGGAAAGCCAGGAAACAATTTCCCTGTTAAAAAGTGGGAACTTTAAAATGTTTAACATTTAAATGGGGACTTTTCCCAGTAAGCTCTCATTACACCCTTGAGCCCAACACAGTCAGGTGACATGGTGGAAACAGCAATAGCAGCTTTTGCTGCTGTTTGTGAACACATTTTCTGTGTGAAACTTTTGAACAGGTGTATCTGTAGCCTCTCTGGTAATTTCTGTAGTGTTACTCTAGGACACAAAATAAAATGATGCCAACACTGCAATCTCTAAGGTAAAAGAGGGGCAGTGTAATTCTGACTCCAGCATTTCTAGATTTCCAAAAGTGACAGTGGATTGAAGGATGACAGTGCCACCTCTCCAATGACACTGGACAAACCAAGAGTCCATCAAACTTCTCCTCCTCCAGAAAAGAATGTAAGAAAACAATTATTTCCAGAAAAGCGTGTGAGAAAGTTCATTACAAGAATATAAACATCAGAAGGCTTAGAAGAACAGGGCAACACTGTAGCCTGTCTGGTAATTTCTGTAACTCTGGTAATTCCTGTGAGCTCTCTAGTAATTTTTGTAGCATCTCTGGTCTCGATGATCTCTATGGTCCTGGCTGACCCCAAGATGTGTCAGAGAGTCTCTTTTCCCAGCCTGGCAGCTGAAGGAGTCAGGATTCTTCTGTTCTGGTTCTCAAGTTGTTTATTTGCTGTAATCTATAACATTCTTTTCCTGGTCTGCTCAGGTCCATTCAGCAGGTCAGTCAGTGGCACACTGCCCACCTTCAGGGTGGTGTTGTCTTTTTATACTAAAAACTACGTGTACTTTATTTACAGTGATGTTCCAATACCTATCACCTATGTTAGACAGTGTGTTCCTACCTTAAACCAATCCAAAAGTGCCACCATCACCCAAAAGATGGAGGCTAGGAAGAAGGAGAAAGAAGGACAAGGCATGCCCAAATTCCTCCATCTTGGGATCCCAAGCCCCCATTCTAAAAACCTGAAAATTCTACTTTTCACCCTGCAACAAATTAACTATCATTCTACTTAAACTTTTGTGACTTGAAAATCCTCATAAAAGGTCGGTAATTTTTTGCATGCATCATAATCAAAGGCACAGGGGTCTTGGGCTCTGTGCCAAGGTCTCTGAGTTCTCTGGCAGGGGCTTGAGCCATCCTGGGCAGCCAGAGGGATGTCCTGGGTTCTGACACTCTGGTAATTTCTGTAGCTCTCTGGTAATTCCTGCAAGATCTCTGTTAATTTCTGTAAGCTCTCTGGTAATTTCTGTAACTCTCTGGTAATTTCTGTGAGCTCTCTGTTAATTTCTGTGACTCTCTGGTAATCCCTGTGACTCTCAGGTAACTTCTGTAACACTGTTAATTCCTGGGAGCTCTTTGTTAATTTCTGTAACTCTCTGTTAATTTCTGTAACCTCCCTGATAATTTCGGTAATTCTCTGTTAATTTCTGCAAGCTCTCTGGTAATTTCTGTAACTCTCTGGTAATTTCTGTAAGATCTCTGTTAATTTCTGTAACTCTCTGTGCTATCTCTCAGGTAGTCCCTGTGCCATCTCTCAGGTAATCCCTGTGCAGTCTCTCAGGTAATCCCTGCAATCTCTCAGGTAATCCCTGTGCCATCTCTCAGGTAACCTCTGTGCCATCTCTCAGGTAACCTCTGTGCCATCTCTCAGGTAGTCCCTGTGCAGTCTCTCAGGTAACCCCTGTGCCATCTCTCAGGTAATTTCTGCAGTCTCTCAGGTAGTCCCTGTGCCATCTCTCAGGTAACCCCTGTGCCATCTCTCAGGTAATCCCTGTGCAGTCTCTCAGGTAATTTCTGCAGTCTCTCAGGTAATTTCTGCAGTCTCTCAGGCGGTCCCTGTGCCTCTCCGTGCTAACGCCGTTCGTTTCCCCGCAGCGCTGGGACCAGAAGCTGCGGCAGGCGGGCAGGGGGCGGGCCGAGCCCGGCCCCAGCGCGGCGGCCCCGAAGCCCGGCGGGGCCCGGCAGGCTCGCAGCTGGGCGTGACACCGCCGAGGGATGCCGGATGCACGGGACTGTCTGCCGGGGCCTCCTCTTGGAGCAGCAAAGGAGAAATTGCACTATTGCACGTTATATTCTATTGTTTACTACAAAGTCATGTTCTAGCTTTTATTAGGTTTTGTTCTCCCTCTTTGTTCTCCGCCTTTTTCTTTTTGGATATGTGCAAGTTCTGGAAATGTATATTTTTTGTTTTTTTCTGTTGCTAAGAACTGTAGAAAACTGCCCTTATGAGATGAAGAAAGACAATGTTCAATTTACCTTTTTATCGCTTAAATCTTCTCTGGGAGAAAATTCTGATGCTAGCAGGAATGAAATCTGGCAAAAACCATTGCTTAAAGTCATAGCTCACACTGGCTTTCCCTGTTCACTCTTTCCTGGTCACTGTTTGCTGAAACTTGCTCTCTTTTGGGTAGGTTGTCATCTGCATTTAAATGTATAATTTTTTATTCTGAAATATAATTCTGAATTACATAATTTTTTTTTGCTAAGAGAACTGTTTGAATCAGTACAGCTTTATTAAGTTTTCTTACAGATAAACCACTTGCATAAGGCAGACTCTAAATATTTCCCCATGCATGCACACAGGGAACCTGGGTTTTCCAGTGCTTTGGACCTTAAAGGAAATATTATCTAGTTCTGTAACCATAATTTATAACTAAATTTATGCTTCTTCTCTTATAATGGCAGTTTTTTTCCCCTTTTCTCAGCTTAGTTATAGGAGTAGACACACTCACCAGGCCTGTTTCTCAGTACAGGTCAGCAGTTTAGCCTTTTGATTTTGTGGTGTTATTCTTAAATCCGTGCCTACATAAACAAGTGTTCAATGCTCAGTAACATATGTACAATAAAAGAATTGTAGTTGCCAACCACAGACCTTACCTGACTTCTGAACCAACATCATACTGCTAACACTACCCTTGAAAATATAAAAACCAAAAAACCCCTTAAATTTTGTGCTTTAATAGAATTCTTTGCAGATGGTGCCAACATATTGGAAATTATCTTTGTTTTTCTACTCTCCCATGCTTAAAAGAAATCAAAAAGGGGTACATCAAAGAACAGTCCTCTGTGGAATAGTCTGCAGAGGGGAACCAGCTCTACTTAAAAAGAGCAAATGGCTGTTGTGTCTTTAGTACACTAGGCTGACTTTAATAAGGAAACAGTGTTGAGTTGTTGGGTGGTTTGAAAATATGATGATGATAAATAGGACAGAAGTATGTGTGAATACTGTAATAATGATGTTTTAAGATTTCAGTTAATAACCAGCAGTCTTGGGATAGATTTTCCATTGGGCTAGATACCAAATAAGTTGAAAAATAACAACATCCTGCAACACTCAAATTTCTATTTATAATTAAAAATAAAGGGATAATTTAAGGGAAAGATTGGTTCTGAAAGCTGGCAGAAGGATATTAATCCTCTAGATATTAAATCCTCAGTATTTTCTCAGAATTACACAGATCACAGAATTATTTAAGTTGGAAAAGACCCCCAGGATCATCAAGTCCAAGTTTTGATTCATCTCCACCATGTGAACTAGACCAGAGCACTAAGTGCCATGGCCAGTCTTTTCTTGAGGACCTCCAGGGATGGTGACTTTAACAAGCATTTCTACTGAGTAGGTAAATAACAGAACCATTTGTTAAGTTGTGAATAGCCTGTTAAATAACGTTAAAAACCTCATTATTTACCCCAAAGCACCCACTGAAGTCCTGTAGATGAGTGCTGGAATCCCAGGGTCAGCAGTCACCACTCATCATGTTGTGTTCTGCTATGAAAAGAGCTGTGAAATCATAAAACTCTGTTAAAGATGTAGAAAATCCCCAGAGAGCTGGGAATTTACCCTTTTCTGAAGGTGGCCTGTCTCATGCCATTTCTCTGTGATTAACAGCCACCTTTATTTAATCCACTTGCAGCTCAGTACTGACATTAGTTGCATTAAAAATTGCCAGAGCAGAGCACAGTGCTGCACTTCAAAACCTCAGTAAGAGAAAAATGAGCAGCATTTGTGACTGTCACATCATGATGTTACAGTGAAAATATTTCCCTAACTGGAAGCCACCAGATTGGTATTTTTCCAGAGGAATTAAGCATTTTTCATTAGCACATGAAAAATGAGGGTGGCATGATGGGCTCCTTGGAAGAGGCAAGAGGCATATTTCACAATCCCTTAATTAACTGAGGAGCCTTTTACAAACTCTGGCACTGCTCCTACCCCATCACAGTGATTTCAGTGACTGAACCTCTGCAGCACCTCCCAGACTCACTTGTGCTGAGTGTACAAATGATCAATCCAGGGACCAATGAGATACAGATGGCACAACATGAATATTTTATAATATTGATATTTCAATATCAATTATTTCAATAGCTTTGAGCAGCATCTCTCACACATGTTTTGTGGTCTGGAGCACACTGAAATGCTCTGTTGCTCTAAAGCTGCACTTACTGCTTTACCACATCTTTGAGGGCCTTGTGACAAGCTAGACTACTCCACTGGTTTTAAAATTACTTTACTTAAATTATGGTCTTAATCATTTGACAGAGTTGTACATTATTTTCTTGCTTCTTTCCCAGGAAATCCTTTTCTGCCCTTTTTGTGCCCATTTTTGATGTGGTCCTACATTAAACTATCAAAAATGCACTATATAGCACATTCTTCTGTAGAAGCACACAGCCCTCAGCACAGGGTTTTCAGAGACATCCACTTGGGATGTGACTTTGCTTCAATTTGTAATGGTTTTGGTTCCTCCAGTTTTATTAACTTCTGTAAACACAAAGTCAGGTTTGGTTTGTGCAAAGTCACGTTTCTCAGCTGCAAAGGAAGTGGAGTGTGGACTGCAGTGTTTGCCTGATGGAGGAGCCCCAGGAACCATCACACAGGTGCAGCAAGGGAGGAAAAACCCCAAAGCAGAGAGATTTCAGAACTTTGCAGTCTCTGCAGGGCTGCATGCCAGGCTGGGCTGTGGGTCCAGCACTGGCTCTGCTCCCAGTGGCCACTTTACCCCAGTGTGGTGAGCTGCTCCAGGCTCTCCTCCCTCCTGATTCCCACTTTCTCCTGCATCCTGCACCCAGGCTCTCCTCCCTCCTACCCTGGGGGTTCCTCCCTCCTCCTCCCAGCCCTCTGGCCCGTGGGGAGAAGGGGAAGACTCTTCTCCACAACACCTGGGCACAGCACAAGGTGACAGAGCCCTGAATGCAGTCCCACAGCAGGCACACATCAGCTCCTGCTGCCATCCCAGCCACCTGCTCCATCCAAGGCACTGCAAGAGCTGCAGATGGACTTTCAAAGAGGATGCTGAGTTACAAGAATAAAAATTACCTAAGCAGCAACATAGCTGTTCCCATTTGGAAACATCACTGTGATGCATTTTAGAGATTGTAGCTTGGTGCTTCCATTCTCATCCACACCACTGCCTGGTTCCTGTGCTTTCCAGACATGCTTCAGCTCTGCCTGTGGTGGTCACAGTAAGTACAGCAAGGTGAGCACCATCACTGAATCAGCACATCCTATCAAGCATATTGTCAATCCTATTTAATTCTTGGGGTTTGGATTTTTTTAAGTACTCAGTGAATATCACTTAATGTGAGAAAGAAAATCTGCTGTACAAAAAGCCAAGAAAACTAAATTTCTGAGTTAATCATGTTTACTACTCTCCTCCTGTCCTCACTCTCAAAGCCTTTGGAAGAAAGCAAAGTTTCGTTATTTCACATTTTGCCTAATTAAGTCTGTGTTTGAGATTTCCTGTGTCAGTAAAATTAATCCATGATGTCAGAGGTTTAAGTCCAAAAAGGAGACAGAGGAGTCCTGTAAGGACAAAGGGAGAGGCCATGGGGTATTTCCCAAGGGGTCTCTTGAATTTCTGGAGGATGCAGCCTCCTTCTTATCCCAATTTCCTGGCCACATTTCCCTCTCTCTCTCTCCCCATTGGCTGAGGTACTTGAGAGGTGCACACTTCTCAAATCACCTAATGCAGACCTGCCTTTTCTCTGTATCTCTGTTCTTTTTCTCTAAGTCCAGGAATTTAGCACAGCCTTGAGTGACAGTCTGTGTTAATTAGTGGAATTCCTCTGGAATTTATGGTCCCCCCCATTGCTTCTTTCACCTATCAGTGTCTGCCTTTATCTACCAGCAGGCCCACAGTTTGTTTGTAAAGACACATCCCTGTCATTCCTTTCACCTGAACATCCCATGCAATTTAGAACCAGAGACTGTGGTGTGAAAATGTGGTGCTTTTAAAATCTTCCCTAAGTTGGATGGAGCTTTGCCTTACATTCCTAAATCCTGCACTCAAACTGGGTCAGTGTATGCTAACAGGCAGTGTTTTATTATTATTATTAATTTCTAAAAGTCCTGCTTCCCATCCAGCATCTACTTCATTCCTCTCTTAGAGTAAGATACACCTACTTCATCTTTCAATCCCCACAGCTAAAGCCAGAGAAAAAATAATGCTGTGTGAGGATGAGGCAAAGGCAAGGTGCAAGTCTGGGAGCAAACCCACCTCTGTCCCTGCAGAGAGAACAGCAGCTGGCCTGAAGTGCCACCAGGGACAAAAAGCAGCTGTTTCTCTCATATCCTGCTCAGAGCAATGCTGGTAAGTGATTCTGCAGTCTGCGCAGGGCTCTGCCCTCCCTGGAGCCCAGCTCTGTCACTTGTCTCAGGCAAAAAATGCCTTGAATTGCTTTAGAGCCGTGGCTGCACTCAGGCTTCTATTGTGATGGTGTGTCCCTTTTAAATGGATTTCCATATGCTGGAAGGAAGGCTGATTTCACCCTGTTTCCCAAGATCTTATTGAACACTATAGAGATAATATATAATTTTTAATCTTGCCGTTTCACCTGCAGTGAAACTATTTGAAGGTCATGGTCAGTCTGTTACTTTTGTAAAAAATTTGTAGCTATGAAAAAAGTCCTCAGAAGTAATTCAGAGTATTTCATTTCAGAACTGATTTGTTTGGAGGCAGCACTATAAAAAAAGGGCAAAC